TAATATAAAGTATTAATCATAATTAATAAACTCTATTCATATTCCATAAATATTCAAATCATAATAAATAAAATCCAATCATTTTTATAAATATCTCAATTAATTGAGTTGTAAAGGTTGTACAAATGCATAAAGTTGTAAAAAAAATATACCTTATATATGATGTGAAAATCCACTAAATTCATTGGAGTGATATGAAATACGGATATAAAATAATAGAGTTGTATGGTGAGTGGAATGCAGATGTCGTTGCCACTGATGCTCAACCTATAGTTCGTTTTTGAACCTAAACCGTACAAACCCAATTGTTTTGATCACTCAAACGAAGAACACTTTGATTTCCCAATTACCGTAAATCTTCACACTTTCGAACTCGCAATCACTTGTTAACAATGGCGATTCAGCACGAGATCACTAGGCAGACTCAGACCAAGATTCTTGATACGGCGCCATTCATGGTGCTCTTACTGATTGCAGCTCACGTCTTTGCATTGGTAGGTTTTTGAATTTTGATCTTCCTTGGTTTGTAACAATCGGATCTTTGATTTCTTCTTTTTTATTTTATTAATATTTTCCGTAATTTTGTTAAAGGTTTACGGGATCTACAAATTGGCGACATCGAAACTGCCTCAAAGAAGAATCGAGACCATAAAGAAAAGAAGTTAGTGATGTAATATCGGTAGTTGGCTTTTGTTGAACAATTTTTAAAAAATCAATCATGAAAACCCAGGTCCTTCGTAAATGGATGTTTGGTGTTCGATGAAATGTCTTGTAATTCATTTTTTGCATAATTACGTCTTTCTGATGGATTTTTCCCCATTCAGCATAAAAATACGTTCGGTAATCGACTTGCACTCTTGGTGTTTGGTTTATTTGAGGGTAGTGCCTTCAATTTGATGAAATGCATTATTTAGTCGTCTTGTTTGCATAGTATTTTGATTAACAGCTCGAAGATTTCACCCATTATAGTAGTAACGTTTGTGCCTAATTGCAAATTTCTGCTTGTATCAATGCTGATATGATTGCATTTCTTATCCGTGTTTGGTGTAATGGTCTATATCTCACATGTAGTGTTTGATGAAATGTCTAAAAGAAATAGTGGCAACAAAAGCTTTTTTTCCTTCCATAATCTGTTGGTTTTTTTGGTTCTTGTTGACATTTGGGTATAAATTAACATAAATGATGATGAGAAAACCATGTAGATACATGCTGAAATGAATTTTACAAGCACTAATGACCAACTTTGCTCAAATACACAAAAGGTTCAAGTTCGAATCTTGCAGGAGATGAGCTTGAACCCCTCCGCTAGCCTCAACCGTTGAGTCAGCTCTGAAATGCCTCCTCATATGTGGTTCCTAGGGGGCCAATAGGGGTTGTTGGTAATCAACCTTTTGCTCAAATACCAAGTACCCCCAATCAACCACAAGGGTGGTGCCTGATTGGTTTGAGCTTGGGCTCCAAAGGTCAAAAGTGCCTGGAGGTCCAGGTTCGAATCCAAGGAGGAATAAAAATCCCCTTGTGGCCATGGAGGTTCAAATGCGTGACTCCGGGCTACCCGCAAAGCGGGTGGTCGCTTGGGATTTGTCGGCTCGCATAGCGGGTTGGATATCCAGGTTGATGAAAAGAAAAAAAGTACCCTCAATCTGATTTTAAATAAAGATGCATTTCCACCTAAATATCCAATAATCACATATACTAAAAGAATAGCAACACCTACAGGATGCAAGCATTCTGCTGAACCATACAAATGTCATGTTCTCCTTTCTGATTCCTGTGATTGAGATTGAACGTGTTGATTTTTGATCCTAATAGCGGAGATGTTATCTAGTCGTGCAAGCGTGATTTGGATTTTAGCATGATTATGGGTTTAGGATTAAACAAATGTAGGGGGACTATAAAGCTCCTAAAAAACTCAGTAGTCCTGCCTTTATCCCTATAAACCCAACAAAATAATGTCCATTTTACGATAACTAATTCTCAAGTTAGATAAATATTAATTTCACATGTGCTGAAGGAAGATACCTATTCATGATCATTATGTACCTATGGTTCTGAAATAAGTTATCAGCTTTCTTTAAGCAGTGATGCTGCTGCTGCCATATGAGCAGCTGATCAAACATATTAGCAAATGTCAAGTGCCGGTAGGGAAAATTTGCTTCTAGATTTGGAAGTTGCTAGCATAGTTCTTACGGTAAAAGATATTGTCTGAATGATGAGACCATGTTGTGTATCTTCTTAGAATGTTATCTCGTATGGTGTGAAACTGTGAGGAGAAAAGAAGATATAATAGTGAGTTTCATTTACCTGATATGGATGAAACCACAGTGGAATAGGAATGAAGATTGAAAGTAAATAGTTAAGCAAATAATAGTTCTCTCTTTGATTGGTGAAAGTAGTGAGATTTGAACTTGTTACTGTGTCAATTGATGGGGAAGTGATAGAGATATGAAACTATGACGTGACTGGTTGCACACTTGACTCATTGCCTAATTCTAGAGAAGATTCTAGGGAGTCTACAATGGAGATGATCATGATTGCACACCAGATTTCTGAGTCATAGATGATTAATTCACACCTCTTTTTAAGTTGTTATAGTATTAACTTAGAAGAACTTTTAGGTGCTCTACTCGTGTTTTGAACGAGGTTTGCTCGAATTTGTTCTTATACTATGATGCCATTGAAGTGAATAATGCAAGAGTCATGTAATGCATGCAGTATTCTTGTTAATGAATTATGATGAGTTAATGAATTATGATGATAGGCCCTTTATGCATGCATTTCTAGTTCAATTAGTGGCTAAGGCTTCACTCTCACCCACTTTTTAGATTATAAATTCCCATCATGATGTGCATATCATCACGTCAAATCCCCCACCATTAATGTTGATTTGCCTAATTAATTGTCATTATATGTATGTATAAGAAAGGGATGAAAAAAATTGTTCTTTCTATCTCAAGCAGTTGGTCATAACCATCTTCAAGAGGATTCCAACATCAACATCATATAAAAATATGATACTCCATGAAATCCTACCAAGGAGAAGATAAAGTGAAAGTAGTGTGATTACAAACCGTAAGATATGAATTTGATAACTTGAAGATGAACAACTCCGGTGGATGGATGAGTCTATAACCAAACTATTTAAAACTATTTTGTCAATCAGGTAAGAATGAATGGTGAAAATCCGAAAGATAAAAAGGTAGTTGAAAAGGTTCCATGAAGTCTCACAAAATTTGAGTACATCATTTTTGCGATCGAGACCAGCCTAAGGATTAGGGTACACTCATAAAACTGAATACTTGGAGGGTGTGCATACTTATTTTATTTCTAAATGACTTTTCTTGAAAAATATATGTGAATAAAGCAATAATAATAAACATAGTACAAGTGTAATGAAAACACAATAGAGTGTCTTGTTCATTGAAAGAGATGATGAAAAAACCCAACTGCAAAGTAAAGATCACGAGGCTCTTCAAAGATGAATGATCTAAAGGATCACACAAAAGGACATGTGGTTGATTCGGTGAAACTAGTAGTTGGATTTTGAGAGGCTGGTGTGGGTTGCTGTATTGCTTGGGGTGATTCAACAGCACGGTTAGGCAATATTGAAGCCATAATCCTCCTGACTCTTTCCTCAAACGCTTTAATTAGCAATTTGTAAAGGTTTACATGTGAGCACACAAACACACTGACAGGGAAAAACGAAATCGTGTACAAGATAACGTTTGTCCAATCCTGCCGACTACTAATGGTTAGGACAAGTGTAGCTGCAAATGCTATCATCATCATTGAGACGGAGAGGATCAACACCGTGAGGCCAAGCAATAGTTTATTATGAAGAGTGTCTCGGAAATCAGTTAACCGAAATGAAGATGTGAGAATGGATAGGAATATGATAACCGATGTCAAGGAAAATGTGAGGGAAAGAGCGTCTGCTAGGGCAAAGACGATAAAAAATGGTTTGTTCTTGAGAAGTGGATAACCTGTTTGTTGATTTGGTCCTCCAGGTACAGTGTAAGCCGCAGCAAACGCAACAGTGGAAATGAGAACAGCAACAATGGAGCAGTTCTCGACTGTGCTCTTCATCCATTCTTTAGCATCAATGCGAAGCTGCACATTATTCTTAATGAATAGCTGTTCAGCAGTCACTCCATCGTTGTTTACTTGCAAGGTTGCTAAGGTGGTACATATTTTTTTCACACTCTGGATCGAACAGCCAGAAAAAGACAATAAAAAGGTTAGTATATCGAATTGTTTCATTTATATACATGCATAATTGATGACAAAAGACGACTGCGTGCATGCCTAAGGGGCTGTTTGTTAGCAGCTTAATGAGCTTAATGGGACTCACTGCTTATTCGGCCAGCCATACATGACTATTTGGTAGTGGCTTAATAATATAGAAAGTGACTTATTCAGTAAGCTTCTAGGGGGGAGCTTTATGCAGAAAGCTAAGTTTTTTCCAAACCTGTCCCTCCCAAGTAAAAAACATGTTCCTTCTATCTATGAAAAACCCCTACTGAACAAAAACCTTCAGAAAATCTATACAGACAGATTAATACACACAGACAACTTTATCCATACAGGACTTAATAGAAACCAAACCAAACAGCCCCTAAGGGTTGCTTGGTTGTTTTTCATTAAGTTGTCTGTATTGATTATGCTAAATTGTTGTTTGTTCCTTAGTCTAGATTAAACAATGATTAATAACTGTTTGATAAATGTGTTGAACGCCATTACCTCGAACAGAATCAAATCATCTCGTAGTACCAGAGCAGGGCTTCTGATGTCCTCCTCAGCATTCTGATCTGTAACCTTTAGGCCAACCATGTGCAGAATTGAATTGCCGCGTTTGTCAATCTTCGCTCTTAGCCTTGTCAAAGGATTCTTCATATCGATCACAGCTTTATAGATATCCATTCTTCGATATTTGATTGCCACATGCAAAATGTGACGTCCGTCCTCATCAATATGCTCTATTGCCTGAGGGTAGACTTCCAGTATTTTCTTAACAATCTCTGTACAACCCGATTTTGTAGCTAAAAGCAATGGAGAGTCAGGGGTATCAGAAGTGATGATGATATCTGCATGATGTGTTTCTGATTGCATTTTGATCTGTTGAGCAGTGGTATCCCCCCCTCCATATTTGTGGGGCTTAATTCTGTTCTGATCTGACCTGGGTTCCGTTGCTTCCCATGAGGTATCCTTTTCGATTAAGAGGGTTGCAAGTTTCTTTGCTGATTCACTTTTGTGCTTTTGTTTCTGAACTTCTCGCAGGATAGGCACTCTACTAGTTCTTTCTTTAGTACTTGGATCAATGACTGAGAAATAAAGCCATAAAGGTCTATAATTTAATAGGGTTATTATGTTCACTACAACAAAAAATCAGACTTTATAGGACGTCAAATATGTCTAGATGTCTTAATAGACTATTTTATAGGACTTAAGTTTATAGGATCACATAATCGTGCATCCTAAATAAAGGTGCTACAATAAGTTGGTTCAATGCTTCTGGACGTCCTAACAAGTCCACCACCCATCGATCCTGTCTCATTTGGTATCAGAGCCAGTGGGGGGTAGCGTGTATCGGTTGATTTTCTGTGTGTTAGTATCCGAAATTGTTCCATACAAGGATGAGTAGTTTATTTCTTTCTGAGGAATATAAGAAAGTTAATCTTACTATAATCAGTTGGAAATCTCCTGCGTTGGTAAGCCTTCAGCGTTTGATTAGCGTAAATGCCGCAGTTGAGAGTAAGACGGCTGGCCGGACCCGCTCGGTAACAAAGTGTTCCCGTAGATAACCAACTAACTATTATAGCAAGAAAGACTTACTTTAAATCTCATCAAGAAATATATTTCTTATCTTAATGGAAAAATTTTCGAAACTACTATCTAGAATAGATATTGATAGACACTCTTCAATGTCTGATATTGAGAATAGCCTTCTTGATTGGACTATTCCCAAACTTGATGTTAAAACTATTTATAAGATTGGCACGCTTGATTTTATGCAAGGATATTCTATTAAAACTACAGAGCAAACTATTTCTATTAATAAAGATAACAAAAATGTAAAATTGTTATCTTCTAAAGCTATAAGAGAGCATAGAGAAAAACATTATAAGTTTCTTCACGTTGGATCTGTTTAAGTTGCTATTAAACCATTATTCAGGCATGGAATTGAATTTGATGCTCCAGTGTTATTATGCTTAAGAGATGCTAGACACACTAATTTTAATAACTCGATTTTAGCAATTCTGAATCTAATATTTCTAATGGTCCAATATATTTTAATTGTTATCCAAATTTCACTGTAGGATTATTTGATCCTCATATTTTGGATATTCTAATCTAACTTTGACTGTTCAAACTAAAAATTTGGAATTCAAAGAAGATGTTAAATCTTTAGCAGTTATTTATAGAGTTTATTATAAAACTATGACTACCACTATAGAGCCTAGAACCAAGCTTGTGTCACCTAAAAATGAGACTATTATTTTTGAAGCAAACACTTCACATACTAATGTTAAAACTCGTAAGAAATTAAAATGGAATGAGATCACTCAATCCGGTAATTGGAATTTACAAGATATAAATGTTCCAAAACCAATTGAATTTAATAATCAAATTTCAAATATTATTGAACACTCTGACGGATCTGTAGATATTTCTTTTAGTACTGATTTTTCTAAAAATGCTAGACATTCGACTTCCACCTCTTATAAATCCTCTGTTTTAGATGATAATAAAATTTTTAATAGATCACAGTCTATGAGACTAAAAGGAGTAGATTTTAATGATACAATACCAAAGCCTTTGTATGAAGACGATAATAAAAGCGATAATTGTACTGAATCATATAATCCTACTAGATCAGAAATTGAAGATTATAGAGACCAATTATAAGTACAATTTTATAGCGTATTTTTTGAAAAAACTTATTAAGTGACGTCTCTTCAAATACATAATTTGGTATGAGAAAAAGTTTGATGGTAATCAAAAGCTTTTACATAGAATTGATTGGGAATTATATATGTTAAATCATGAAATTAACATTCCTTTTTTCTTATGGATAGAAATATTGGTAATTTTTATATTGGTAAACCTCTTGTCAAAATAGAAAAGCCTTATAATAATGAAAAATCCAATACCAATATAATCCAACAAAACAATTATACCATTGGTCAACAAAGAATTGAAAATACTAATAATAATAATAATAATACCAACATAATAAAAGAATCTAAAATAGAAGACCCAATTTTCAAACCATCTACTATTGATACCAACATAAAATTATCAAAAGAAACTTTATTTGAAAAAATACCTTATAAAAACGATTGTTCACAGGACACTTTCTCAAAAGTGTCCTATAAATAACTAATAGGACACTTTATTTCAAAAGGGTCCTAAAAATCTTGTTAGGATGTCCAAATACATCGCAACATCCTATAACACCTTTATATAGGGCACACAATGGTTTGGTACTATACATTTAAGTCCTATAAAGCAGTCTAACATGACATTTAGACATGTTTGACGTCTTATAAAGCGGATTTTGTTATAGTGGTTGTTGATGAATTAGCAGGCTTGATGACCGAATAAAGCATTTACACACATAAATACGTTACAAAGGGTTGTGACAGTGATTGAGGCCCAAGGGAGATGCGGTGGAATATCCCATCTGCCCTGGGTTCAATTCCAGGCGTTCACAACAATTGTGACCACTGAGTTTATCAGGGTTGACGTACGGCTACAATTTGCCGAGATTAGTCTGGGCATAGCCCGGAACACCCTTACAAAGGAAAGTGTACGTTAGTATCTTACGCCTGTATATGAACCGTTTGAAGAAATTTTCTGCAAGTCCACTGTTGAATACTAATGGCTTGCATGCAAGAAGTTGAAGACCTGTCATCCCATCTCCATCTTCATTATTCAAGAATGGATATGTTTCAGCAATATAGTGAGCCAACTCTGTTTATATATTAGACAAATGGATTAGAGACTCTGCTTCCGAGTGAGATATAATGAGTTTGGTTTGGTTTAGGGCCCGTTTACCAAACGCTTATCAGGTAAGCGCCGCTTACACGAGTGTCACTTACCTTACCGGGTGAACATGGAAAGAACCTAGAATCTTAAGCGAGGGAGAAGACTCTTACCCAGTTAGTGCTTACCAGGTTAAAGATGCTTACCAATACCAACAATTCATTTTGATGGCCGGAAATGTTACCCGGTTAAGTAAATGAGGGTGGAGACTCTTGCATGTAAGTGCTTAACCAGCAAGCATTTGGTAAACGGCCCCTTCTCAGTCTGCAAACAAACACTTACTGAAGTTCTCACTATGAATCGCAGCATGAAGGATAGTAGCTTTATTATCTCTAAAAAGAAATTTCCTGAAATCTGGTTCTGCAGAATATTTCCTTCTCACTTCAGCTTCTAGAAATTTGAAAGTTTGGGTCTTCCCATAACGGGCTGAACGGAAAAGAGCAGTCTCTCCGAGCCTGTCGGTCATGCTGAGCAATAAAGGTGCCCGACGCAGCATCTCAGCAGCGGCCTCAACCGTCCTATTGCTGGTGGCTGTTGCATGAAGTAAGGTTTTTCCAGCTTCATTTTTCAACATAAGTTTTTCTGGTTGGTTTTCAGGAATTAGATTCAGCAGCTGAAGAACCAGTTTATTATGCTTATAATAACTGGCGATATGAAGAATGCTGTCATTGTGTATGGTTAGTCTGTGGAGCGGGCCATCCGGCAATTCTCGGCATATCTCACATACCTTGGCATCATCACCATCTGACAGAGCTTTAAACAGGTCAGCGTCCGTCCTATGATTTCTAGATGTCATATGATCAACCATAGAATAGACAGGGAGAATGCACAAAAGCACAAAAGGCTGATGACCTAGTGTCTATGTATATATGTATGCATATATATATATATATATGGAAAACCCCCAAAAAATGAAAAACTGTAGAACATCCTAATAATCATTCATTTGTACGGTATGTACATGTGGACACAAGTGATTGTAGATGTTTCCTGGTTTCTATGCACGTGTGCATATTATGCACATGGAAAAACTACTTACAAATTACTTTTATGCACATATGCATGCCATAGAGGTGAACCGTTACTAGGGTGTTCCTCAGTTTTTCATTTTTTTGCGGTTTTTCTCTGAACCCATTTAAAAGAATACGAAACCGGGCAAATCACGTACAAAATCACATGTTAGTGGTCAAAAAGAAGTGTCTAGTCGACTTGTGGTTGCGTCTTCAAGTCGCCGGGCAAGGTCGCCTGAATCACATGTGATTTTGTATGTGATGTTAGTGTAAAAATCACATGTGATTCGTCTGTTTTCGTGTTATTTTAAATAGGTACCGTTCTTGTTTGATCCTCCCTGTGTGTGTATATATATATATATATATATATGAGTTGGAATTCTTAGTCTTATGTGTTGGAGTCCTACATCAACTAGACAGTCTCTTTTTCTTTTCGGTATATGTTGGAACCTGGGTTCTTTTAGAGAATAATGTGGAGGTAGGTTTTCATAGAGAAGTTTGGTGCCGTTTCTATGTTAAACCTCCTTTTTCTATTCAAGGGTTTTAGGAAGTAATTTGAAGCCAAATTTTCATATAGAAATTGGTGTCTTTTCCATGTTAGAACCTCCTTTCTCTATTTAAATGGGTTATCATCGTAAATAACCACATGAGGAAAAAATAT